CAATCAGCAACGCAGTGGCGGGACTGGTGGTTTTGAACTCATGTGTTAAGAAACATGGTGAGTAGTGAGATGACCCTTGAGGCGCAGGAGTTCAAGAGCGAGACTTGCGAAGAGTGAGATTGTTCTTCGTAGGAAAATTATGGAACAATTTGCCAGGGTGGTTGCAGTGTATGCTAGTATGAAGGAGGTGAGCAGGAGGAGGCCAATGGGACCAGGTGTGCACCGCCCGTCCAGTGGGCACAAGAGACCTCTCAAAGAATAAGAAGCTGGTGCTTCGTTAGAGTTGGGACCCGAGCGGGTGCCTTCCGAGGACCCAGCCAAGGGCACTAAGGATCGAGCGAGGGGTCCCTCAGGGAGGGCGAGGAGTCAACGTTGAAGAGCCGCTCCCCACTGGGCAGTGGGGCGTTTAGGGCAAGAACAAGGATTGTAGCAGTAGATTAACAAAGGTGTCACCTGTGACGCTGAGGGAGGAGAAAGCGAGAGAAGGGTTCGAAACCAGGCGGAAGCGAGCAGCGCCCGGGTCTTGCAGTGAAAAATGAAAGAAATTTAGGTGCCAACTAAAAGGGTAGATATATATATAGGCCAGGCATGGTGGACAGTGCTGTAGTCCCCAGTGGGAGCTGAGGCAGGAAGTATCACTGGAGGCAAGAAGTCTGAGGTGGTGGCGGTAGGCGCACCGATGGCACTCTAGTGCAGCAGAGTGGGACTCATGCAGGAAGAAATAGAGAGAGATTACTGGATCCATGAGTTCATGAGGGTATTAAATGTGTGAGGCCATCAGGTGTCTCGAGATGAAAAAAGAATCAGTGCATTATTTGGAACTAAGTGAAATAAATAGAAAGAATAGCATTTGTTTAGGCTTTTTCTGCATTGACCGTGCCCCCCCCCGGGGAGCAAGTGTTAGCTGCAGGAGGAGCCATCGTTTTCGTTCCCCAATGAACGAAGATGGCGCTGTGGGCAGGCTGAAGTATTAAATAATCTGGCACTGGCCGTCCCCCTACGGGCCAGGGACCCAGGCTCAGCGCTACAATGGCTGCTGAGTCACAGAAGAATGTGCACTTAGACTCTTGCCAAAAGGGGTTGGAAACTAGAGAAAGATCAACAAAAAGCGGAACTGGTATCAATCGATGAACAGACAAGACAATAGCAAAACTACCAGAACTGAAAACGTGGTGTTCCTGAATCAAAGACCACGTAGCACGACAGCGAGATCCAAGAGGCCCCCTACAGCAGATAGAGAGGATTGTACAAAAAAAAAAAACAAGAGGACGAGAAAGCATGGAGGACATAGCAGACCGCAGGTATCAGAATGATCATGTTAGAAATGAAGCAGGAATTGAACCAAAGATGCGTACCAAGTTGCGCTGGGGTGACACCGACTATGAACTAAACATTACATGGCGGCGGATGATCGCACAAGTGGACAGTGGTGTTTTCAGAGGAAGGGAGAAGGCGGTTTTGGGGTTGAGGCACAATGGAGGATGCTTCCGGAGCGTGTTGAAAAATGTTAGTTTATTTTATTTTTGTTTTTTGTTTTATATTTTGTTTTTTTCTGAGACAGAGTGCTCATCTGTTGCTGGTTAGAGGTGCGTGTCGGTCAGCTAGTCACAGCCAACCTCAATCTGGGTCAAGAAGTGCTTTCCCTGCCTTAGCCTCCCAAGTAGCTGGACTACAGGCATGCACTCCCATGCCCAGCTAATTTTTTCTATATATTTTAGTTGGCCAATTAATTTTCTTTCTATTTTTAGTAGAGATGGGGTCTCACTCTTGCTCAGGCTGGTTTTGAACTCCTGACCTTGAGCGATCCTACCGCCTCAGCCTCCCAGAGTGCTAGGATTACAGGCGTGAGCCACCACGCCTGGCCAAAGTTATAGTTTTGATCTGAGTGATGACAGGGTGTTCACTTAATAATGATTCCCTGTACTGTATGTCTACTTCTTGTATCTGAATTTATTTTACAATGACAAGGTAAAAACAATTTACTGTGTGTGTGCTCTTTGTTAGTCACTGTTCTTAATTCTCTGCATGTGTTAATGCACTCTATCCTGCCAGTGACTGCAAGAAACAGTTCTCATTTCCATTTTACAGACGTGGAGGTGAAGACAGAGAGAGATTAAGTTCTAACAAACGTGTGAAGAGATGTTCAACCTTGCCAATAATCAAGGAAATACTAATCCAGTCCAGATGCCAGTTCCTCAGCTTTCAGTGGGCACAAATCTGAAAGTCAGGAAACATTACTGTGAGCAAGCAGGGAGAGGACTAGGCACAGGCACTGCCATACAAAATCAGAAAGGTGTATATTCTCTCCATACTGCTATCTGTTAGAAAAATATTCACTAGTGCAAAAGAAGGCATGTACTAGGATGTCCACTGCACATGACTGCAGTAAACAGAAGCTGGAATCATCAGAAGGGAACAGAGTAAAGAAAATGCTGTATAGTGACATGCAGGAAAATAACACAGCAGTTAAAATGAATAGTTCTACAAATATCAACATGTTGTTCTCAAAACATTCTTACTGGAAAAAGCAAGAAGCCAGGCAAGGTGGCTCACGCCTGTAATCCTAGCACTATGGGAGGCCAAGGCGGGAGGATCGTTTGAGCTCAGGAGTTCGAAACCAGCTTGAATAAGAGTGAGACCCCGTCTCTACTAAAAATAGAAAGAAATTAATTGGACAACTAAAAATATATAGAAAAAATTAGCCGGGTATGGTGGCACACGCTTGTAGTCGCAGTTACTCAGGAGGCTGAGGCAGGAGGATCGCTTGAGTTTGAGGTTGCTGGGAGCTAGGCTGATACCATGGCCATCAAGCCTGGGCAACAGAGACTCTGTCTCAAAAAAAAAAGAAAGTAGTAATTAATTAGAGAAACTTGAGTAAGAGAAAAGGACATAGCTAACATGAGAGAGATTATTGTGTCCCCTTTGTGGACAGAGGCAAAAGGGCTTTGATTCATGTATACAACAAGAGGCTGAGGCAAGAGGATCGCCTGAGCTGGAAGTTTGAGGTTGCCGTGAGCTGTGATGACACCCCTGCACTCTAATGAGGGCAAGAGAATGACACTCTGTCTCAAAAAAAAAAAAAAAAAAAAAAAAAAAAAACCAGAAAGAAAGAAAAAGAATTGCCTGACAACAAACTTATCTCTGTTGTTAGGTGACACATGACGGTACACCGGAAAGATATATGCCAAAGTTGTGATAATGACACCTTCTTAGGAGGAAGAGGGGGATGTGATACAAAGGGTACTTTAACATTATCTATATATTGTTTAAAAAATTTTTAAGAGACAAGGTCTGGCTCTGTTGTCCAGGCTGGAGTCCAGTGGCTCAATCATTAACTCAATGCAGCCTCGAACTCATTGGTTCAAACAATTCTCCTGCCTCAGCCTCCCAAGTAGCTGGGACTACAGGTGTACACCACCACGCCTGGTTAATTTTTAAATTTTTTGTTGAGATGGTGACTTTCTATGTTACCCAGGCTGGTCCCGAACTCCTAGCCTCAAAAGATCCTCGCCCCTCAGCCTCCCAAGTTACTGGGATTACAGGTGTGAGCCACTGCACCTGGCCTGTATTGTTTTCTTTTGTTTTAAAAAATCCAAAGCAAATCCAAGAAAATAACGTATCTGTCCTGGGTCGTAGCAAGGAGAGTGTTTGTAAAATGCTCCCAAAGTCTTCAGATCGAGCCTAATACTGACACAGCCAGCAGCTCCAGAGTGGATGGGACTCTGGCTGAGGCAACTCAGAGCCCTTCTGAGCCCAGCAGCTGTGGGCCAGGCACTTAGCACTTCCATTCCTGCTTCTCATCTGTCAAGTGGGAGTGATGCAAGGCCTACCTTACAGGGTTACTGCATGGGTGAGCAAATATGTGTGAGAGTCTTGGAACAGCGCCCAGACAGAGGAAGCACCCTTAGGATGCATCAGACTCTCATCACAGGGGACACCACGTGGAGACATGGATAAGCTCCAAAGAGACTAATGGCAGGCCCTGGTCATAAGGGTGTGCCCACTGTGCAAACTCACTGAGCACTGACAGATCATGCACTTCTCTGCACATGTGGTACACTTTAATAAAACTCCCCAAGAAAGAAGGAAAGGGGAGATATGCCAAATAAGATTTTGGATCCAGCAAAAGTCTATAAGGCCGGGCGTGGTGGCTCACGCCTGTAATCCCATCACTCTGGGAGGCCAAGGCGGGAGGACTGCTTGAGCTCAGGAGACCAGCCTGGGCAAGAGTGAGACCCCAGCTCTATGGAATAAAAAAAAAAAAAAAAGAAAGAAAGAAATTTGGCCAGGCAACTAAAAATATGAAACAAACAAACAAACAAAAAACTAGAGATGGTTACACTGTAGTATTATTGGCTAAAACAGAAAATCACCTACTAGAAGTTTTTGTAAATACTCCTTCTGAAGAGAAAGTAAAAAGGATCAAAAATAAATCTATAGATTTAAAGAAAAAAAAGACACTATGGCAACAACTGTGGGTATTTGAATATGAACAAGGTACCACCATTAAATGTGTCAGGTATAATGATATGGAAGTTACTCTTTTAATAACACTCTTATCAGTTAGGTTAGAAGTGCACCTTGAGGTATTTATAGGTAGGAAAAACCCAGTAATTTCTGGAATTTGCTTCAATATAGTCCAGGAAAAGTAAAAACTAGGGCAGGGAGAACAGATGAAACAGGATTAACAAAATGTTGATACATATTAAAGCTGGATGATAGACCACAGGCAGCGATTACACTACGCTTTCTAATTTTGCATGTTTGACAATTTCCATAGGAAAAGTAAATTCTAAAAGTTGCATTCTGGAGAATAAAATTGACAATAGGTCGGGGTCCCGTTCTGTTCAAACACTTCTTGATTTAGCACTGAAATACCAAGTAGACACCTGAACAAGGACACTGCTGTAAAACCCACCCACCCCACGAGGACAAAACTGCAAGCACACAGAAGGCCCCTCGCTCCCCAGCCTGTGGGCATCTGGCGGCAGACCCTTTACCTGCAGTTCTCCTTGAAGCGGCACTTCCCCTCCAGGAAGAAAGGGCAGGGCTTCAGGGACTTGTGCGTGGGGTAGAGGTACAGCACCCGGACTCCTGCCGAGCCGTCTGCAGCCTCCTCCGCGCCCACGACCATGGCGCTGTGGTACTCCAGGGTGCCCCACGAGCTGTAGTAGGGGGCGTTCACCTTCGTCCCGCTCAACTCGTCCTCGTCATCGCCACTGTCCTCTCTCTCTTCCTCCTCCTGCCTGCCTTTGGAGGGCTCTGGCCCTGCTTCTCTTGCAGGAACAGTCTCCAATTCTCCTGCAGGGGCTGCTGGCACCTCCACCTCCTCAGCAATGGCCTTCTGGAAAGCCAGGTACTCTGCATCTGCCTGGGCTGGGGGCTCTTCATCCAGTGCGGCCAGCAGCTTGCTCTTCCGGACGGACACCAGGCTGGCCTCAGTGAGCTCGATCAGCTCCTTCAGGTCCCCTTGCAGCTGGCGCAGGTCGGCCTGCTCTGAGGGATCCAGGCCGGCGTCCAGGGCCAGCTCCACCTGCTGCAGCTGTGCACGATAGGTCTGGAGGGCCGTCTCCAGGCTCTCCTCGTCCATCCTGAGGCAGGGATGCTGGTTTCCCCAGGAAGGCAGGGGCGGGTCCCGGGGCCTGGGAGAGGAGCTGTGCGACCAGAGCTGCGAGGAAGAGAAGCCAAGTGAGCCCCGGATCTGCCGCCTTACTCGAGCGGAGGTTCTCACCGGGTGCTCGCAACAGCCTGCGGGGACAAGCCCGGCTTCGTCTCCCTTTGGACGAGGAGAACGCAGGCTCAGAGGGAGCCGCTCCCAGTGGGAAGGCCAGGCCTGTGCGAGGCCGGCACCCGGGTCCTCAGGCAGGTCGGCTCCCCGTCGCCTCGAGCGCCCGCCCCTCCCGGGCGGCCCCGCCCGCGCCCGCCCCACGCCGGCCCTCGCCTCCCTCCGCCGAGCCCACCAACCGAGGCGGGCGCCGCCCAGGCCCGGACCCCGTCCCCGCCCAGGCCCGGGCCCCGTCCCCGCACACCGCGGCCCGCTTGTCCCCGGCCGGGCTCCGCCTCCGCGCAGCTCCCCAGCCGCCGCCATAGAGAGTCCGCCGGCCTCACCGGCTAGAGCGGCCCGGCGTCCCCTTCCGCTCTTGCAGCCGGCCAGCACTTCCTCCCGAGCCACCGCCGGAAGTGCCCGGCGCGGGTGCAGCTGGGACGTGGAGCGCAGGGGCCGCTGGGACGCACCTCCGCTTCTGCCCTGGCGTCCGGGCCGCGTCCCGACAGGCCCCGCGCGGGGTCAGCGCGGGTTCAGCGCGGCGGTTCCGGCGGCTCCGGGGCCGCGGCGGGCGCAGGTAGGCCGTGGGCTGTGCGGCGGGGACGGGCCCGAGCGGCGGTCTGGACCGGGGAGGCGCGCGGGTCTGCCTGCGAGCCCGAACGTGGCGGCCGCGGCGTGGGCGTCGGAGTTGGGCCGCCAGTCCAGGATCCTGCCGCGGGAGCCTGTCCCCGCCGCCACCCGCCCTGAGGCTGCCTCCTCGTGCCACTGCCCTTTGCAGGGGAGGGGGTGGCGGGTAGCGTTGCCGAGGCGCGCGCCGGCTGCTTGCGGCTCCGAGGCGGAGCGCGGGGCCGAGCGCCTGAGGTGCTGCTGCCCGGCCCGCGGCGGCGAGCGCGCTCTGCTCCCGCGTGCGGCCGGTGGAAGAAAAGCCTCGGGAGGGCGGGGCCGGGGGACCTGTGAGCTCCCTGCTGACGCCTGCCAGGTAGTTCCTGCAGGAGAGGGACCAGAACTGGCTTATATTCCCAAAGATCACAGTCTTTGCTTTGAGTGGCATGACTTGAAGTGGCCAATCTGGGAGAAGTTATGGAGGCAGAGCTGAGAATTCTCACAGTGAGAGGGTGGAAAGGGCCAAGGAGTCAGGAATGGCCCCGGGTTCTTGTTCCGGTCAGTGAGCAGGACGGACTGACACAGGAAGCCAGTGGGCGGTGGGGTGCGTGTCTGACTGCACCGTGACATCTCTTGTGGTGCCCAGAGCAGGATGTACACACTGCTGTCGGGCTTGTACAAGTACATGTTCCAGAAGGACGAGTACTGCATCCTGATCCTCGGCCTGGACAATGCTGGGAAGACGGTAGGTGCCAGGGCCCCTTCCCTGCCCAGCGGTGACCTTTGGGTTTTACGTTATGGGCTGCATGTTCACTGCCCAGACAGAACTCAGACTCTTCCTGAGACCACAGTGGAGCAAAACATTGCTCTGTTTTGCTTTTGTTTTTCAAGAAATAGCCTTAAGAAAGGGTATTTGGGAAACAGACATGGAAAACTATCCTAGTAGTCCCTACCTTATGTGTATCTCTCCCTCTCTCCTCAGACCTTCCTGGAGCAGTCAAAAACCCGGTTTAACAAGAACTACAAGGGGATGAGTCTGTCCAAAATCACCACCACCGTGGGTCTGAACAGTAAGGGGGTGCTTTAGAGCTGTGGGTTTGGGGCCCTGAGGATGCTGTGATGTCCACTGGCCAGAGCTCTGTCTGCCAGGCCTCTGCCCAAGCCTTTGAGTGGCACCAGAGCGGTTGGCTCCATCCCCTGGGAGAGCTAGGACCTGGCACGTCAAGGACTAAGATCACGAGCCTTGCCTGTTCTCTTCCCAGTCGGCACTGTGGACGTGGGAAAGGCTCGCCTCATGTTCTGGGACTTAGGGGGGCAGGAGGAGCTGCAGTCTTTGTGGGACAAGGTAAGCCAGTCACCAGGTACCCTCCCTGGGGGGCACTGGCATCCCCCACCCCCACTGCTGCCATTTCTCTCCAGGTGGTGCCCCTGGCCTCTTCCTCCTCAGCAGCTTTCGTTACCCACTTTGTTCCTGAGGTTTTTCTCCCCAGTCCTATCCCAGGTTCCTTAACTGCTCCCTGCCTCGTCCCTGCCAAACCTACAGCTGGAGCCGCCCAACAGCAGCAGCAGGGGACTTTCGCACAGTGGAGTGCCCCAAACATCCCGCGATGGGGCCAGTTGGGATTCCAAGGAAAGACCCGTTAAACGCTAGGGTGATTAGGTCAAAGCATTTATCAAGGGGACTGACTTACAGAATGCTGCAGCGCATCCTCAGGTGGACAGAGAGAGAAAGGGGTGTTTTATCCAGGTGTGTCTGCAGCCACAGGCTCAGAGTATGGAGTTTATAGGGGGGTTCAAGGAATTTGGTTTGGAGTCAGGGCTAGTTTCTTTCAGTGTTTTGGGTAACAAGCTAAACACTTTTACAAGTGCCTGGGGATGTTTAAAGCCCTGGTTTGGGTTTGACCCTGCAGGGAAAATGAGTAGCTGGTCAGGTCACAGAGCAGTCAGGGTACTCTGTTTCTCAGGCCGAGAAAAGTGTGGGGACCCTGAGGACCCTCCACTCCCCAGAAAATGAGGACACACTTGCCACTCCCAGACATGCCACTCCCACCTCGCTGTGGCTGCTGCAGGGTGATCTGTGGTGGGCGCCTCTGTTTGGTCCCATAGTCAGGTGCCTGTCTCTGTGGGGGCCCAGGTGCACGTGAAGTGCTCAGGAGCCACAGGAGGCTGATTCCTGGTGGGCTTGCTGCAGACCCCGCAGAGCTGCCCTTCCCACCGTGGAGGCCAACACCATAGGGCCTGCCAGCTCCTGGGTGTTGGCAGTGAGACAGCCAGCCCCGCCTGCCAGTCCCCAGCCGGGCTGGTGACTTCTGTGCCAGACCTGTTGCTAGGCCAGAGAAGTTCCTCTGTGTGGGACTTGCTGCCTGCAGAGCCCAGGACACCTGGCACTGGGCTCCGTCACCACTGGGAAGCGCGGGTGTAGAAGATTGTCCGGTACTGGGGCGGGGTGCACGGTGTACCTACTCATCACAGCACCAGCTGTTTCACATCTTGGGTGGGGGTGTGGGGGTCCTTACACAGTGACCACCAGCTTATCCTGCCCAGTCAGTGTCGTGTTCCGGGCCTGGGTGCTCATGCCGGGTGGGAGAGCTAGCCTAGCCCTGGGAAGTCACCAGCATGTGCTGCTGTGGTGGTCCGCATGGACGCAGACGGTTTCCCATGTTCTTTTCTGATTGGGACAGAGAAGCACTGGTCCTGTCCTGGGCTCCGACTCACACCTAAGGCCATGTGGGTCTTTGCTCTGTCTCGCCCCAATCCACTGGACACCTGTGAGCCCAGGACTGACTGGGTCCATCCTGCAGAGGTCTGAGCTGGGTGGTGCTGGCCCCATCCAGACACGGAGAGCTTGCTTCTCCCCTTGGGCACCTGTCAGGCTTGCCGTCCATGTGGCTGCGCCCCTGGCACCAGGTGCCAGCATGAGGCCTGAGGAGGATACTCCTCCCTCAGGAATGGAGCTGTGGTCTGGGATCCTCCAGCCCCAAGCCCTGTGTTTCTGTGGCCACCATCAGGCCAGGGGTCACATGCAGGTTCTTAGGAGCAGTCCCTAGGAAGGGGGTGACCACCCCTGCCAGGGCCAGCAAGCCTTTCCCACAGGGGTCTGGGGGCACCTCTACCCCCAGACCTCATCCAGTTGGGTGGCCCAGTCCCTGCTGCCCTCTGCCTTCCTCTTCCTCTTGTGGGCCCCTCACAGTGGCTGTGACATGGGGACCTGGCCATGCCGGCCCTTGGCAGGGTGGCAGCAGCAGTCCCACCTCCCACCACTTCCTTCCAGTACTACGCAGAGTGCCATGGCGTCATCTACGTCATCGACTCCACCGACGAGGAGAGGCTGGTGGAATCTAAGCAGGCCTTTGGTGAGTGGCCTGGCGGCTCGCGGGAGGGCAGGGGGAGGGGTCAGCTTGGGTTTGGACGTCCCATGGGCCTTCAGGAAGGTGTCCCTGCCGGGGACATGCTGCCTGGTGTACGAGGGGGGCCGGTGGAGTGCTGGGTGCCAGGTGCTGCCTCTGCCTCCTCCCCAGAGAAGGTGGTGACAAGTGAGGCGCTGTGTGGCGTCCCTGTCCTGGTGCTGGCCAACAAGCAGGATGTGGAGGTGAGCCCCCTGCCTCCTCGTCACTGGGCTCCACGCCTCGGCCAAGCCCTGGCTCTGCCCAGTGCACGCTGCTCTCCAGGCCTGTGCTCTCCCTGCCACTGCCAGGGCAGCCCTGCCCCCCACCAGAGGCTTGCCCCCCCACCAGGGCCTCTTCCTATCACGCAGGACACCCTCCCCCCTCTGGAGGGTGGCCATGCCCTATCCCAGGGGGTGTGGCCAGGCTGTGGGGAGACACAGCTGGAAGCTCTGGGCTCAGAAGTGCTGCTGTGGCTTCCTGGTTGGGCATCGGCCCTAACCTGAACCTGTCTCTGCGACCTTTGCCCTGGCATCCATGCCAGCCCTGCCTCCTGGAACTTGGGGGCCTCTTGGTGCCCCGCAGGGGACGTTGGCCACACCGAGTCCCTGTCCTCATGGAGGGGGTCTAGACAGAAGCAGCCCAGGGTCTGGGTTCACTTCCCATCTGCCCTGCCGGCTTCCCCCACCATCCCTCCTGATGGGGGCATTTGGTACAGGGCCGGGGGCTTCCCCTGGAGGAAAGGGGAGGGTGGAGATGCTTTTAGGGCTGGGCAGGTGACCATGAGCAGAAACTGTCATGACTGCAGATGCCATTGCTTCCCAGCCCTGCCTCCTGCCCACCATGGGGACCACTGGGACCTGCCCCTCCATCACCAGGGCCTCGGCCCTCAGCACCCCACCTGGGAGGGAGCTCACCCTTAGGGACTGGTGGGGGTGGTCCCGTGACCCGTGACGCCGGTTTCCTGAGCAGCTGCCTCGTGGGAGCTGCACGTGGACGTGTGTGGTCATCCCCAGGCACCATCAGCTGTCTGTGGACGCGGGGACTGAGCTCAGGGTCCTGGCCCCTGTGGCCTCCATGTGGGAAATCCTGGAGCCCTGGTTGAGCTCTGCCCACGCCGTTTCCCAGCGTGAAGAACCAATGCCCTGAGAGCCCCAAGTCGGCAGGCGGGACGGGGTCCTGGCCTCCCCGCAGACTTGCCTTCTCATAACTTTGCCCCCAGACGTGCCTCTCGATCCCCGACATCAAGACCGCCTTCAGTGACTGCACCTGCAAGATCGGCCGGCGAGACTGCCTGACCCAGGCCTGCTCCGCCCTCACAGGGTGAGTGGCCTTCCTCCTCGGGGTCTGGGGGCCACGGCTGCCCCGCCTCACGCCCTCTGTCTCCACAGCAAAGGCGTGCGCGAGGGCATCGAGTGGATGGTGAAGTGCGTCGTGCGGAACGTCCACCGGCCGCCGCGGCAGAGGGACATCACGTAGGTGTGGCTGGCGTGCTGTCAGGGACAGCTCATCCCCGTCTGCTGGAGGAGTGGCCTTCCTGCCGGCCCCTGTGCCACCAACCCTGGGGTTGGGTTTGCTTTGCTTTGTGATTCTTCCTTTGCTTTGTGTTTCCGTAAGACATTTTCCTCCGAGTCCCAGAAGTGCTGGCGTCCAGGGCCTCTGTGGACGGGAGTCTGGCAGCCAGGCCCCTGAGAGCGCCCAGGGCTGCTCTGTCCAGCTCGCCTGCGGAGGAGGCCGGCGTGTCCACTGCTCACCGGGCTCTGCCCCTGACCCTGGTGGTGGTCTGGCCTCAAGGAATACCTGGCCCATGTCCCCAAAGGCCAGCTGGGGCCCTGGGTTCTGTCACAGCCTCGGAACAGGGCTGAGGCGACCTGCCTGGGAAGACAGACCCACTCCCAGGCACGCTGGCGACATCGCCGCATTTTAATCCCTCGGGGAGAGGCAGCTGAGATGGAAGAGCTGGGGGTTGATGCTTTATGTGGCCCCCGACAGGTTGGGGGGTGGTAGGGGCCTGGATCCACTGGGCCGAGACCTGAGCAGCAGGCGGCAGGGGCTCCCTGGGGCCCAGGTCAGTGATGTTGGGCCTGTGTTCCTATGGAGGGAGTTAGGGATGGGGGTCCCTGGAGGTACCTAAATGCCCCTCCCCCTCGTGCTGGAGACAAGGCATCTAGACTATCCTTTCTGGGGTCCTCAGAGCCCTCCCCACACAGCACAGCCCCTACCCACAGGAGCAGGAAGCACCCATGGGCCAGGCCTGCGCTCTCCCTGGCCATGTGGCTGTGGGCTGACCAGGGTGCTTGTGCACAGAATAAAGACCGTCTGACCTGCTCCCCTCCGTCCGACCCTTTCTGCAGGTGGCCCAGAGCCAGGTTCCCTGCTGTCTGCACAGTGATGTGGCACTGGGCCCCATGGGCTGGTGGGCAGGTGGGGGGAGCCCCTAGGCGGGGATGGAGTTGTAGCCTGTAGGGCACACCCTTCCCACGAATGTGGGAAGTGGCCTGGCCCCAGCCCAGACCTATGACTCCTTGTAAGAGGGTCAGGTCACACTGCTCCCTGGGAGCTTGGGAGGAGTTGCTGCCAAGGGGCCTGAGTGGGGGTGGGGTGGGGCCTGTGACTCACCAGCAGTGTGCGCCAGGGACCGCCAGGGACCCCCAGCCTCGGATGGGAGGGACCTGGCCCGCGGAGGAGGGAGGGTTCCTGGGCCCCAGGTTGCTCTGCTGTGTCTGGAGGCAGAAAGGAAAGGCCTCACTTCCCAGAAAGCATGTGGGATGCAGCGGGGGAGGTCTGGCGGTCCCTCTGGGAAATCCCCTAGCGCGGGAGGGGATGAGGCCTGTCTGAGTCGGCGGGTGTTTCCTGGGCACTCCCTGTCCTGTCCCTGCCGCTCCTTCCACACTGTCCCAGCCTCAGAGAGGGGAACCGGGGCTGTCACCATGTGCCACAGCCAGCAGTGGACACACGGACCGTCTGCAACGGACCTTGGTGGGGTGGGGTGTCCCGGGTCCAAGGTAGGGGCCCAGCTGGTGGCCAGAAGACTCGGGGACTGGAGCGGGGCTTCCTGCCCAGGTGTCCCCCACCCTCAGAGCAGACGTGCAATGTGGGCACGGCCAGTGTTACAAAACAGCTTTATAAAAAAGAAACTTTCTTTAAAAACAAAAAACTGCCTTAGGGGCAATGCCAGTGTGGACACCGGCCGGACCGTCGTATAAATAACTGGGCGAAGGTGGCGCTCAGTGTGCGGGGAGGAAGCGCGCGCGGACGCTCCGCTCCAGCCCGGGCAGCCGCGCCGCTCGCAGTGCCTGGAGCAGCCGTGACAGCAGCGCCCCTTCCGGCGCCCGGCGCAGCTCCGAGAGCCGCTGCCGCAGCTTCTCCTGCAGGGCCACGCGGCTGCCCCTCGGCAGCGACGGGTCCCATTCCGCTGGGCCCGCGAGGGCCTGCTGCAGCCGCTGCAGCCTCCTGGAGGAGACGTCCTGGAAAACCACGAAGTCGATCACAGCGCGCTCGCACTCCTCAGTCCCTGCAGGAGGGTCAGGGCGATCGGGTCGGTCATTTAGCCCACAGGCACTGGCAGGGGCCCTGGGGGAGTTCACAGAACACAAGAAATCCCTGTGCACTAAATGAGCAAAACGTGAACTACCTGCAGAGCACAGTACTAAGCGGCGGAATAAATCAGCAAGCAGGTGCAGGTTGTCAGGACAGGAGCTCCCAGCCAGGTGGCCAGGGCAAAGGCCCTGGGGCAGGAGAAGCTGGGCTGGGGTGGGCAGGGCCACTGCAAAGAGTCAGGAGCCACAGTGGGACTGGTCCCGGCTGACCTGACATTAAGAGGGTCACCTCCCTCTGCCTGAGCACTACAAAACTTTAAACTCTCTGGACCTCAGTTTCCCCGTGTTGGAGGAAGTAGCCACCTTCCTCAGAGGCTGCTGGGACTGTTGGGAGAATATGCTGAAGCCACCTCCCCAGGCGAGGCTTGTCCCTGGCCTGGATGCTAACCCTCAGCCACCCTGAAGGGGCTAGACTCTGAGGAACCCCGGACCCCACAAAGCTTCCGCAGGCCCTTGCCAGAGACTAACAGCAATGCCCCCTACTCCAGGGCTGGGCTCCTGCCTGGCTGGGAGGGACACAGGCTGACTCACCAGCCCCCTTGGTCCCCCTGCTCACCTGGCTCACCCGGCCCCTCCTCGCCGCGTGGGAAGCCAGTGCAGCTGGTGCACAGGGCATCGTGGGAGGAGGAGCCCGGCACGTTGAGGGCCAGACCCAGGGCCGTGCAGTTGCGGTGGGGCTGGCAGCGCTCTGAGCTGGAGCTGCTGGCTGAGAAGGTGCCTGGGGGACATGGCTGGCACTGTGTGTTCTGGCTGGGGGTACCTGGTGTGGGGAGAGCAGGTAGGACAGGATCAGGGAAGGCAGGGTGTCTTTGCTCATGGCTCAAGTCTGGGACCAGCAACTCGAGCCCCCCAACACACACCTCCTGACACCACCCCTCCTCTAGGTTCCCCTCCTCCGGGCACCCCTCCAGTCACCCAGCACGCACCCAGAGCGGTCACGCCGGCGCCGGGCGGACACGGCGTGTGCTCCAGGCAGAAGCCAGCGTGCGCGAAAAAGCCGGGGCGGCAGCGGCAGGCGCGGTTGTGGGTGGCGTGGCACGGTCGCGCCTCCTCCTCGCGCTCCCCGCAGAGGACGTTGCAGTAGCGGCAACGCTCCAGGTAGTTCCAGAACTGCGTGTAGTGGCGTGGTGGGCATGCGCCGCATGTTGTGGGGCTGTCCCGGCTGCACGGCCGCTGCACGAAGGTGCCCGGGGGGCACTGGGCGCACGACAGCCACTCTTGCGTCTCCGCGTCGCGCCACGGGTAGGTGGGCGTATCTGCCGCCCCGCGCGCGGCCAGCGCCAGCAGCAGGGAGGGCAGTGCCCATGCGGGGCACAGCAGGGACAGGCGCAGTCTCTGGTGCACCCCCATGGTCTTCGCTAAAGCAAGGTGAGGGTCAGCACAAACACCGGGATATGGCCCAGCCCACCAACGCGCCGCCTCCTCAGCCTCCAGCCTGCCCGGAGATGGGCTCGAGTCCCGAAACGCACCCCAGTGCCGGCTGGTGTCCCACCTTACCTGCCTTGGCCCCACGCACTCCAGCCCCAGCCGCCGTGCGCAGGGCTACGTTTTGTTCGGGCTGGTGGGAGGGGCCAGCCTTGCCACGCCCCCGCGGGAACCCCTCCCTCCCCTGGCGCCACTTCTCCGACCAGGGCTCAGTCCAGGGGCAGTTTTCTGAGGGGGCCCAGCAGTCTGGGAACTGCCCTCCCCAGCACCAGGGGCAGCTCCTGACCCGAAGACCAGGGCATGGCAGCCCAGGGTGGAAGTGGGGGCACCCAGGACCCCACTGCAGTTGAGGGCCCAGAGTGGAAAGAGCACGCAGGGCACTGCTCTCACAGGGCAGGGTGGGAAGGGGACCCACAGGCAACACCCATCCCTCCCTGCACCCTCCAATCCCACCACCAAACCCAAGCCGTACAGATGCTGTCCTGGGCACTGCCACAGCTTTATTAGAGAGCCCTGTCCTCCAATTAAAAGTGGGCACATGTCCACACAGGCTCCCCTCCTTCCTGGTTGGGGCCTCAGCCGAGATGTCCGGGGGGGCGTCACTCATCAGCCGGCCGCCAGGGAAATCCTGGGGAACTGCCTTCAGCAGCCAGGGCTTTGCAGGCCAAAGTCCCGCCCCCGGGGAGAACCCTGGGCCCCATCTGAGGCCTGCACTGGTCTGGCAGGCGGGCACCAGGCCCTCTTGAGTGGGCTCAGCCACACCAGAGCTGGACAGGTAAGTGCCACGGCAAGGGTGACCCAAGAGTCTCCACGAGGGCTCACTGGAGCTCTGGCCAGAAGACCTGGGTGATGCTCTGCTTCCTGCAGGCGGCATGGCAGGCCGGGCACGTCCTAGAGGCCTGTGGAGACACCCAGGCTGCTGGACGTGCCTGACAAGCACCACCCCCAGGATGAGGGCCTGCCCCAGCCCCCGAGCCCACCCCCGGGACGAGGTCCAGCAGGAGCTCCTGGGGGCCAGGTGCCAACCTGGAGGTGCCGCCGCCAGCAGGCCTGGCAGCGGTGGAAGTCGCAGGAGGGGCACTCGAAGAGCACTGTGTCCTCTGCCCCACAGCCCCGGCACGCAAAGCCTGCCGCCAGGGGCCCACCGCGAGCACCTGCAGCCTGCCGCTGGGCGCCGCCCCTCCCACGAGGCTCACCCCGCTCAGACTGCGCGTGCCCATGGGGCCGGCTGGGCCCTGCGGCGGCACTGTCGAGCCCCGAACCCCCAGCTGGCTTCTGTCTGAGAAAGGACAAGATCTTGCTCTGGGTCTTCCCAGGTTTCTCCGATTGTGCGGGGCCTGGGGACAGAGAAGTGAGTCCGAGGGGGGGCCCGCTCTTTCTCTGCTGCCCACCTGCCAGGACTGCATGGGATGGGGGGTTCCGAAGCACCTGGGCACAGCCCTACCTGGCTGGGGAGGCCCCTGGGTGAGCTCAGGAGGCACAGTGGAGCCCTCTTCCTGGGGGCCCAGCAGCTCCATGCCTGTGCCCGGGGAGGGCAGGCTGGTCAGGTCTGTGCATGTCTGCAGGAAGCGCTGCTTGTGGTGGGGGCGCACAAACATGCCGAACCCTGTGGGGAGCTTCACTCAGGCCCAGGACAGCAGCCCACGCCGTCCGCTGCCCCCACCGCCCCATCCCGCCCGCGGCCCGGGTGTCACTTGCTGTGCAGCAGGGGGAAGTCCTCGGGCCTCGCCGTGGTCAAGGCAGCCAGCACGGCCAGCACCTTGTCGAGGTCATCGTCCCGCTTGTAGGCTTTCAGTGCTGCCAAGAGCTGGTTGCAGCGGGCAGACCCCAGGGCCCTGCGGGCATCTGCCAGGTAGGCGCTCACGGCAGGCTGGCCCCTGGGTCCCATGTGTGGACAGCTGCCACGGTCTCCTGGTGAGTCCGGGAAGCAGCGTCAGGGGCCAGGGACCCAGGCAGTTCCACACACCCCCACCTCCACCTCCTCCCAGGAGAGCCCCTCTCGCTGCTCAGTACACCTGGGGCTGCGGGACCACGAGCAGCGCCCCTGGGACTCCCCACGGTGGCCCTGCTTCAGACTCTCTGCGGTCAAGCTGAAGGATGAGCCTCCTCAGGACCAAGGGCCCCACCCAGGGGCTGCAGAACCCCCAGGATACAGGAGCCAGGTACCTGTGCCGAGCGGCCTGGTGGACAGGTGGGGCCCACCCTGGTTCAGGTGCTCTCTGGGATCCAGCTGCTTGGCCACAGCTTTGGACAGGGTCAGCCTGGAGTTAGGTTCCCTCCTCCCTGAAGAAACAAAAAACACAAGGAGCCATACAGCTGGTTCCTGAGGATCTGGAAGGTTCCCTGGGGAGGAGGCAGGTCTGGCTGGGGGTAGACTGGGCCTTACAGCCCGCCCACCCTGGAGCAGCAGGCCCGACCCTGCTGCCCTGTTCTGGGGACTTTCTGCTGGGCTGTTCACTAGGAGGCCTGAGAGCAGGCGCTCCCACCTCCAAGGGTACCGGGTTCAACTCCAGATATCCACAGGAGTAGGCAGGAGGGGGACAGGTGTCTGCTGGTCCAAGACCCTGCCGGCCTGTGCACAGGGTGAAAGTCTCTTGGAAGGCCTGGACCCTGGGCCGTGCAGTGGGGGATGGCCAGGGCTCTCCCCAGGTGATGCTGCCTCACTGCGGCCCCAATCAGCCCGCTCCACCACCCCAGAACCCTGCGTGCCACTCTGCCTTCTGGGTCTGAGTCTGAGGGTCCTGCCAGCAGCCCCCTCACCGCTGAGGTCCAGGGCTGGCTGTGACCGCTGCTCTCGGGAAAGCCTATGCTCAGGCCGGTAGCCGCATCCTTGGCCTGTCAGCTGGACACACAGCTCCTCAAACTGCTGCTTGTGGTGGGGCCGCACGAACTGGTAGAAGCCTATCAGGGAGGGGGCGTCTGGGCTTGTGGGCTGGGGGCTCAGGGGACCATGGGCCACCCACCTGACGCCTTCTCTAGAGAACGCAGACAACCTGGGGCCTTGGTGGCCCGCCTGGCTCTCCCAGAAGGCCCCCACCCCACAGCGTGGCACTGTCCCTGGGGGACAGCCTCCGCGGGTCACGGCACCTTGGAGCAGGCTGTGTTTCTTGGGGTCCTCGGCAAAGAGGGGACCGAGGCAGGCTGCCAGGGCTGTGAAGTCGTCCGAGCCCTTGTAGTCCTGCAGCGCCCGGGCGAAGGTGTCGAAGCTGGCCTGGCTCAGCTCCTGCTTCACCGCCACCATGAAGAGTCTGGCTCTGCCCACCTGCGCGCCAGCTACTGGCTCCTCCTGCTGGACACAGGCCCGAGGCTGCCATGAGTGCCAGCCGCATCCGCCTGTCCTGGGCTACAGAGCCATGCCAGCCTCTCCGGCAGGTCTAGGGTTCCCTGGGACCGTGGGTTGCCATCGGGGGGCTGCTGGAGAGGCCCCAATGATGGAGGATGCTGGGCCTGGCCCGCCTGGGGTCACCCGGAAGGCGGCCCGGAGAGGCCGGCAGGGAGCCCACGCACGGCTCCAAGGTAAGGTGGCCACGCCTGCACTCCACACCCCTTGAGAGCAAAGAGGAGACTTGTCCTCCCTCAAGCTGGGAGCTCCCGTGGGGCCGTCCCTCTGCTCCCCCCTCAAGCCCTCGCCCCAAAGCGGGTGCCGCCGATGCTTGGAGGACAGCAGCTCACAGTGAGGGACTCCTCCGCACAGAGCACCCCACTTGTCCTGCACACCCCAAAGACCGACAGGGACAGTCCAGGAGCCCCCAGCCCTGCCCCCGCGTGGCCCCTGGCAGGCCCAGGCCCTCGGCAGCCAGCCCACTTCCTGACAGCACCAGCCCTGCTGGGCACCGCCTGGTCTTCCCAGAAGGCGAGGGACATGGACAAAGGATGCCACATATGGGGCTTTCCAGCAGGGGAGGGCTTCCTGCCTCAGGTGCCACTCGGACGCCTGCACCTCCCCACGTGGGCAGGTCCACTCTCGAGGGAGAAGCTGGGTGAGGCCCAGCACTGCCCACGGTGGCTGAGGAAGCTACAGCCAGCTGCAGGCCCCAAACCCAACATGCCCAAGGCTGGGCCCGACTCCAGCCAGGAGGAAGGGAACCCCTAAGGCCCACAGAAGGGCCTGCAAATGTTGAGTCTTCGGACCACGCCCAGTCCATTGAAGCCCGGAAACCAGCTCCTGGAGGTGGCCCCCTGGGTCTGGCCCGGCCCATGCCCCTGCCTGGTTGGCGACCACAGTCCACAGGTGCTAAAAGCCAGATCCCCACGGGCGCCTGTGGGTGGCCGGCACGGGCTGCAGGGCGGCTCACGTACCGGGCGGCTGACCAGCCTGACTTTCCTCCTCCCTCCTCTCTGCTCGTCTGCCAGCCTCTTCTCGCACCGGGAGGGCAGGGCTGAGTCGCCGTGAGCCTGCGGAGGACACAGCTGTGGTCTCGTCCACACCTTCGGGGGCCTCGAAGCCCCTGTGACACCCACGTGGTCCAGGGGAAGATGGTACCTGGGGCCCCAGGGAGCCCTGACCGGCAGCCTGGATGGAGGTCCCAGGTGTGGGGTCAGAGTAAAGCCCCTGGGGGACAGCGCCATGGCCTGTCCCCCTTTCCCAGTCATGCCACCCGTACCTGGGAGAGCAGGTTCAGGGAGAACAGTTCCACAATGACTGAGGGGACAGAGCTGCCTACTGTCAGCACCCGGGGCTCGCTCCAGGGGTCCACAGAGCAGAACGGGGGCTGGGGGGGAATGGCTCCCAGCAGAGGGCAGGGAGAAAGCTTCAGGGCAGGCCTCGGAAATTACAGGCTTCTGGGAAAAGGCCCCAGGGGAGAACAAACTTGGAGTCCCACCCATGGCCCAGGCCTAGAGAAAGGGTAGCCTCAGGCACAGGTGTCAGGGGGCACTGGACCGTGAGTGGACTGGGCCAAGGACCTGCAAGAGTACTGCGGGGCACCAGCTGAGGGCCTGGGTACACTGCCCGGGAACAGCAGCCAGGGGCAGGAGCAGACAGCATGGGGCAGAGCCGGGCAGTGCTGGAATCCCAGTCTGCCCAGAAGGGGGTTCGCAGGGGTGAGTGGGACAGTGCCTGAGGCCAGACGGCCTGTTCCTGCCCCAAGCCCCCACACCTCCTCTGCACCAGGGTGGGCCTCGTCCCCAGGCGCCCTGGCCCGCTGCTCGCTGTGCTCCAGGGCGGCCAGCAGCCCTGTGGGCCTCCTCGAGGTGTGGACCGGCTCCTGCTCATACTCCACACACAAGCTGCTCTCGGCGTCCTCAGCAGCTGGTGACCCTGACGGAGCACCAAAGTGAGCAGCCAAGGCCATGGGGAAGGCCCAGCCTGGGGCACCACGATGCCGGCTAAGCTGCTGCCCCTCCCTGCATGGCCCTGCACCTGCCCCTCGCCCACCTGAGGGCCTCCGCTTCAGGCTGGGGACGTGCAGGTCCAGACTCTTGGCTTTCCTGGCGGAGAGGGAGGGGCCGGGGCTCTTGGCCACCCTGGCAGCGTCTTCCTCCTCACCCAGACTGGGGGCCACAGCCTGAGGGGCCGGAGCTCGGGGCAATGGCGCCGGCATCTGCAGAATCACAGGGTGGGCAGGGACCCCGCCTGTTTCTGGCTCCTCAGGGGACAGCACCCGGCCCCCTCCCTCAGCAGGG